AGCTCACGGTCCCTAGAGTGTGCGTTGGGGTACTGTTGGAGTATAACCAGCTAAACCGCATAGCTTGCCATTTATAATGCTGTCTGGCAAACTTTCAGGATCTGCCAGTAGTCTCTGGAGCAGGAAACCTGATGATGTCCCCTTATCAGCTAAACCAATTTTAGCCGTCAGAGCTTCTTTCTACAATAACATTTACATTTATACAGCGTGTTCACATCAGGGCGATGTCCCACAGTGACAATACTGGATGGGCATCTGAGCTGGGGATGGGAGCCAAAAGGATGGTGAGGGAAAAGATGACCGAAATTATGGTCAAAGTGAAGAGGAGAAAGGGGAGCAAGTTGAAAAGACTCCAGGATGGAGTTCTGGAGAGTAGAGGCAGAATGATGGCTGAAAACTTACCTGCTGATAGGGTGGGGGACATGAAGAGGTCCGGTGTTCAATCAGCGAAGCGAGTGGCCAGGTTGGTAGGGTTGAAGGAGGTTGCAGATATAAGGTGGGGTAAGACCATTGAGGGATTTACCAATGAGAACGAATATCTTATGGAGCTTTTACTTGGCAACTTCTGAGTTGCAGGTTTTTTATCCAATTCACTGTTGTTTAAATGTCATGACAGTTAAAGGTAACCAGATTGCTAGGTTTAGGATATTTTTACTCCTCTGGTAGCATAATCGCTTGGAATAGGTGTTTCCATATAGTATCATCAGCAAATTACTAGTGGTTCACCAAGGAATTTATGTTCTCATTGTGATATAAGAACATAGGTACAAGAAGACATTCAGTCCATCAATCCGTTCCCTCAGTTTATTAGATAATGCCAGACATTTCCATCCCATTTGCTCATTCTTGAAATTGCTGCCTTTCAGATGAGATGATAAAATATGGAAACAAAAACAGAAGTCGCTGGGAACACTCAGCAGGTCAGGCAGCATCTATGGAGAAAGGAAAGTGAGTCAACGTTTTGGGTCCACAACCTTTCGTCAGACCTGAAACATTGACTCACTTACCTTTCTCCATAGATGCTGCTTGACCTGCTGAGTGTTCCCAGTGACTTCTGTTTTTGTTTTCAGATTTCCAGCATCTGCAGTATTTTGTGTTTTGATAAAATATGGTCCAGTCTGCTTGTTCAGGTGGCTGCTAAAGATCCCATGGCATGATTCAAAAAGTGACGAGTTTCTTCAATTGCTCTGGCCAAAGGTCCTCCTGATAAAAGGGTCATTTACTTCATTCCTGCTGTGGAACATGGCTGTGCACAAATTAATTGCCACTTTCTGGTACAATCACAGTTACCGCATTTTACAAAAAAAACCTCTGTAAAGCGCTTTGAGATGTTTTGATATTTTGAATTAAGAGGTGCTATATAAAAGTCAAGAATTATTATTATTATTCTTGGGATAAACTTCCAGGGTCTTTAATGGGAGTTATGAAGAGATTTGAAAATCTTTTATGTAAGTGTTTTCAAGTGAATAATATTTTTAAATCAATGGTGTTAGAGTATAAATCTGCTGTTGTACTAAATAATATCACAACTATCTACCCACTTGGTCTGTTCCTGTAATTGCTTACCTCCCTACTGTCCCCAGTATTATTTCAGAGACCCTTTAACTGAATCAATATCTAAATACCCAGCTGGGCAGCTAGCATGCAATACTGCAAACATCTCTGTGTCAGCAAGTCAAGAGGAAACATTGCTTCACTCATCAACTGATTATGGCTTGAATGAAATACAATACGTGGATGACAAAAACCCTTGTAACTTTCAGATACCTTTATCCCTTAGCTCCAGACTACATCTGGTACCTCCTGCGGTCATACTCCTATGCCCACTACCTCCACCCTGCTCGCTCAGACCTGCTACACATCCCCAGGATCCTCAGCCCTATCAGCAGTGGGCAAGCTTTCAGCTGCTATACTTCCACTATCTGTAACACTTTCCCCGAATCCCTCCACTTTGCACACTCCCTCTCCATTTTAAAACCCTTCTAAATGCTTACCTTTTGACTAACTTTGGAATTTCTCTCCACCTCCCGACATCCACCCACCCGACCCAATTCAAGCTCCCACTCTGTCACTGAAGGGATTTGAGATGTTGCTGTATTATTGGAGATGCCGTCCTTCGCATGAGATCTTAAAACGAGATCCTGTCTGCCTGTTCAGGTGAACGTTAAAGATCCCATGGCACTGCTCAAAAAGTAAAAGGAGATTCTCCTAGTGTCCTGGCAAACAATACATTAACTTCATTGCTGCTTATTGGATATTGCTATGCACAAATTAGCTGCCACATTCGCCGAAATTACAGTCACTACATTTGACAGTAAATCTGCTGAAGTGCTTTGAGAAAGCTCAGTCACATTATAAGGCACTGTATCGAATGCAAGGATTATTATTTATTATTATTATAAGCTATTGTTGGTAAGTAGTTTAAGAGATGTTAGCTTTCACTTATCTTGTATCTTGTATCTTGTGGAGTCCTGTAGCTCAGTGGTTAGAGCACTCGCTTTGCAAGCGAGAGACCTGAGTTCAATTCCAGGCAGGGCGAAACCTTGGGCAAGTTTCCTTACTCCACACGCCTAATAATAATCCCTCCGAAAACCAAAAACAATAATAAATTGGTCATTTTCAATCTACGACTGTTTGTGGCACATTGCTGTGTGCAATTGGCTGCCGCGTTCGCCCACAAATATACAGTCAATTCACTTTACAGTGTGTTCTGTGAAGCGCATTGGGACGTCCTCCCGACGTGAAAAGCGCTATATTAAATGCAAGGATTATTATTATTATCTTTCTTACCGGCGAGGTTACAATGGTGACAATAACCCTGTTGTGAGATTGCTTGGATTAACTTTGAGCACGTTTGCTTTTTATTGAGGTCCATAAAAACAAATAATTAAGGCCTTGCTACTGCAGTGCCTGCATGGTTTAAATTTAGTCCTGATAACAGACAATTCATCTCCCTTGTATAGGTAAAAATTGGAGGACCCAAGGAATGCTCCAAAATGTGTTAGTTTCCATGTTTTAACTATACATTTTTTGATTGCTTTGCAGCGTTCCAAGTGTAATAGCTGTAGAAATTCAGCAAGGAACCTATTATGGTTTTATCATCTCAGGAACAGAGAATGGCCATATTACACCCTGGCACTTGCTCAACTTACTGTGATTGATTTTGAATCTGATCTACGCAAGCCAATAATTTATGTACTTTGAATGATTCAGCAGCTTACGGCACTTAAACAAGATGCTTTTGTATATCTAAACAGGATAAACTCATTTCAGAAAAAAAATCCTCCATTAATAACGTTGCCTTTGTTTCATTAATACTATATCCTTGGAGACGATTACAGCAGTTGTGAATTTGGTGACAAATATCACAATAAAGGTGAAACGACTGCAAGCAGGCAACTCAAGTAAGTCTGCCAGAATGAGCCAATGATTCCTCACATATTCCTTGCAATTGTAGCTTCATTGTCTGGATCTCTAAAGGGTACATTCAACACCTCTCTAAAGATAGCTGCCTGTAACTGATGGATATATATCTGCTGTAACCCCAGCAGATAGACAGGGAGCTCTCTGTAGTGAAACATAAACTGAATCAAGAGCTGACTTTCTAGACTGTTGCAACAGTGTAGTTGTTGCGGGTGCTAGTGAGGATGAGCTTTAGGCCCAATATCAGCAGACATCAGGGCCCTATCAGTTTTTACCTCCCAGCAGCAGCACATCAGCACCAGCACATCATGCATATGAAGAATTGTTCAAGCTTCAAAGCGTGCTTTAAAAGCGTCATTTAATCAAAGGAAGAGGTGGATAGGTTCACCTTACTGCAGAGTTGCTACTTCTGTCTGAGGCTGTAGTTCTGCTGGGCTGAGAGCAACAAGGCATGAAAAATATTAGTTGAAAAGTACCGAATCCTTGGAAGAAAAAGAAGGCCATTTTGTTTTGACATTTTCAAAGCTGTTTTAACGTAAAGGTATGAAAAGGTATGAAAAATTGGGGTGAAATTTGCGGCATTTCATTACACTTTCCTTGTGGTAATTATCACAGAGAACATATTATGAAATGCCATGGATTTTACCCTGTTATATCAAAATGCTTATCCCCTTGTTTGTAAACGTGTACTAATGTACTAATTAGTGTACTAATACTGGTGCTCTGACTTGATTTTGCTTACAGTGTACAATGAAGTGACATTATGAAAAAAAGTCAGTGTTTCAGTTTGCATCAGGACTGTGCACACTTGAAGCTTCATCAGGTGACAAAGTTGGAAGCAGTGTTCCCATCAGTGGTGTCTACAGTGGAACTATTTCAAGCAGTGTTTGTGGCATATTGCTGTACAAAAATAGGCTGCCACATTTGCTTACAAAATACAGCTACTACACCTTATAATAAACCATCTGAAGTGCTTTGAGATGTCGTCCAACTGGAAAGGCGCTATTATTATTATTTATTATTATATCATTCACCTTGGGGAAAATGATAATGGTGTGAGTGTGTGCTAGTTGACAATGGCATTCATGATTCAAGTGCCTTCATAGGGAATTCATTAAGAAGCGGCACATACTCACTTCTTAAGTGCTGGTGATAGGATTCACAGTCAGCGGTAGACTAGAGATTCGCTACCTTTTCAAACTAGTCCTGCCTACAATCAGTGAGACTGCAGCAATTCACAGGAGGACAAAGTTGCTGACGTTCAGCCTTAGACTTTCTGGTTTCTCATTTCCAAAGTCATTTGCATTGTCAGTCGAAAACCCAAACCAATGGAGGTTCACTAATCTGGATGATCGAATCCATTATCATTTTGGAGAATCCTGACTAATAATAATCCTTCTAGTCAAGGAGATTTTGCACTCTGTGTGCCTTTCCATGTCCTCTGTAACAACTCGACGAGGGATTTCGGTTTTGGCTTATGGATTTGGGGGTTAGGGTTCTTTGAAAATGAGTATTATTCATCAAGTTCTTAATCACGGAAAACAAATGGCATCTGTTTATTATCTCCCTTTGTACAGAAGACAAAAGCTCCTGTTCCTGTAGTGGTCCATGCTGGTCCCAAGTGGCTGATGGATGTGACTTGGCGAGGAACAGAGGACAACAACAACAACTGTGTTGTGTACAGCAAAGGTAAAAGACAAACAAATGCATTTTGTTCTGTTTTTATATGTGAAACCATTGGTGGAACTGTAAAGGAGCCTGACGTGCATTGTTTACAGAGTGGAGTTTCCTTTGTAACGTACAAAGATTTGACCTGATTTTCGTTTTACTTTGACAGTTTTTGTTTTGTCTTCATTCCAAAACGACTGTGACTGGGACAACAGTTTACAGCCATCGGCGGTTAAAATTAAGAGAGGATTATTATAAACAGAGCCCACTCTAGAACAAGCAGAAGTTATTGCCAATATATCACAACATGGCTGTAAGGAGCAGAGGGAATTATGGTCTGCTCCTCCCCTATAGACAAGAACCACTAGCTTCTCAATGAGTGAACTGAGATAAAGGTTCCATTGTAGTATGAGGCTTGTCGGTATTACAATAGAATTGTTATCTTAGTTAGTGTATCGGAGAGTCCAACGTTTTTTCCCAACTAAGGGGCGGGCAGGGCTCTCTATCTCTGCAAGCTCAACTGCTGAGAAAAAATGTTGAGAAGAGAAAGTCTCTCTACAGCTGTTTCAAGGTTTGTTTTTTTTATTTTTGAATCTCGAAGACTGCGAGAAACGGCTTGTTTATCTGATTTAAGTGACATCAGTGAAGTGTGAACTGAAATAATAATCAGAGTTCTCACAGATAATGCACTGTCAGATCATGAGAGCCCATCGTGGATTGCCTGAGAATGGTGTAAACTAGCAGTAAACGTGGTCTCCTCGTAAATAAGGCATGCTCGATGTACTTGTGATGAAGTTTTTATTTGTGATATTTGTAAAACCTTAATCTTTTTATAACCAGTCAGATATGTCAGTGTAGATTATTTTGCCACATTGGCTAGCCACAGCAAACTGTTGCTTTGTGCTTACAATGAGAAATCTAAGGACCAATATCTCAAGATGGAGAGCTGCACTGTCCCCACCACCCCACCCCCTTTGGTCCCATTGTCCAAATCAAGAGGCTTGGTGAGGTCTCTCAGCAAAGGAAAGGAGCCATGACCTTTGGGTTATTCGCATATGCTCACAGGTAAATTTGCTCTTGTTTAAAATGGTGAAAAATGAATGTTAAATGCTGAATTCTATCCTGGATGGTTGGAGCACATTGCACAAGGATCTGTGCGTTTCAATGCATCATATAGGCTTGTCTGGAAAAATCCCACAGTTCCTTCATTTACATTGTGCAATATTAAAAAAAAACTTAAAATCTATGAGTGACCTATTACCAGTTGAGTCGGTGTGTCGCTGACTTCAGTAGATGCAGACGATAAACTTAGACTGCTCTGATCGAAAAATAGAGAATCACAATGTGTTATTGCCGTCTCTTCTTCATGAGGCGTAAGTAAAGTTGCACTTTATAAAGAAGTAAAGTTTTGCATTTGTAACTATTTAATTTTACTAAAAAAAATTAGCAAAAGAAAAAGTGTACAGACCAATGTGTAAATGAATCAACTTCAAAGGTTCAAAAATAATGAAAGGATGATATAGTGATTATTACTTGTTCGGCATATAGTTTCAGAATATCACAGTTTAAAATGTCTTCACAGATACATTACACCCGGTTGTCAGTCGATTGGCGGATTGCTTTTCCAGTGGTAATAATTATAAATTAGTCACTTCAAATCACGACTGTGTGTGGGACATTGCTGTGCACAATTGACTGCTGTGTTTCGCCCACAAAACATAACAGTCACTACACTTTCCAGTGTATCTTGTGAAGCGTTTTGAGATGTCTCGAAGACATGATAAGGCGATACATAAAATGCAAGGAATATTATTATTAATACAATTTTAAATTTATATTGCGCCTTTCAAGTCAGGAGGATGTTTCAAGGTGTTTAACAATTCTGGCGTGTGTAGGGTGGATGTTGGAGAATTAATCTCACAATTATAATGTGCTAAAACAATATGGAATTGGTCTGAACCACTTAAATATCCCAATGTCCAGTGCATGGTTAATATTCCAATTAGTTAGCAATTGAAAAAAATGCGTCATAGGAACATAGGAACAGGAGGAGGCCATTCAGCCTTTCCAGCCTGTTCCACCATTTAATAAGATCATGGCTGATCTGTACCTCAAATAATCCTTTCAATTTCCCGCTTTCTTCCCATATCCCTTGATACCCTGACCTACCAAAAATCTATCAACCTCACTCTTGAAGGTGTGGATGGATCCAGCATCCACGGCCTTTTGGGGCAGAGAATTTCAGATTTCTACCACCCTTTGAGTGAAAAAATACTTCCTGATTTCACTCTTAAAATGTCTGTTTCTAATTTTAAGACAATGTCCCCTAGTTTTGGATTCCCCCACCAGAGGAAATAGCTTCTCTGTATCTACTCTATTGAATACCTTTATAATCTTAAATACCTCAATCAATTCACCCCTCAACCTTCTAAACTCAAGGGAATACAATCCAAGTTAACGCAGCCTTTCCTTGTAACTTAACCCTTTTAGGCCTGGTAACATTCTGGCTGAACCTACGCTGCATCATATCCAGAGCCAATAAATCTTTCCTGAGGTGTGGTGCCCAAAATTGAATGCAGTACTCCAGATGAGGTCTGACTAATGCTCTATACCGCGTCCATATTGGGGACAGCTCAGCAATATCAGAAAAATAATGGGTGGCCCAAAATTGAAGTCCAGACAACAGATGTGTACTGAAAACATTGAGGAGAAGATCAGCAACATTGCACTAACATTGTCTCCTCTTGACTGCTATTTAGTGTATCAGCCTGGCTCAGTTGGTAGCATGCTTGCATCTGAGTCAGAAGGTTGTGTGTTCAAGCCCACATTGGAGCATTAAACTCATGTAGTCCAGGATGTTGGGGGTGCACTGAATTGTCAGGTATCTTTAAAATCCACCTGAAGAAAAGCAGACCGGACTATGGCGATTGACTGGCCTCTCAGATATTCTGGAAGTACAGTATCATACAGATGCTTAGGGTCTTTATTCTTGTGGTTGTTGTGAACGATTCTACATAGGAAAGGAGATCATTAAAGGGCAGCATGAGCCAATGAAATGCTGGAGGGATTGTAGTATCAAGGATTACAAAGGTGAATATATTGCAAGTCGCTAATAGTGACGCATTCCTTCGCTCCAGTTGCCTACTTACCATTTCATCTAATCGTGACAAGCAGATTTCCATTCTGAGCAAAGTTTTTCTGTGTACTTTACATTTATGCCATTGAGTTAACTCAATACATGAGGGAAGGTGTGTGTGTGTGGGGGCTGCTGTGTGAAAGAGTATTTGTGTGGGGGGGTTGTCTGTGTGAGTGTGTGTGGGGGGGCTGTGTGAGTGTGTGGGGTGCTGTGTGGGTGTGGGGGGGAGTTGTGGAGTGTGATTGGGGGGCTGTATGAGTGTGTGTGGGGGGTGCTGTATGAGTGTGTGGAGATGGCTGTGTGAGCGTGTGTGGGGGGGCTGTGTGAGTGTGTGGGGCGGGGGCTGTGTGAGTGTGTGGGGGGCTGTGTGAGCGTGGGGGCTGTGAGTGTGTGGGGGGCTGTGTGGGTGTGTGGAGATGGCTGTGTGAGTGTGTGGGGGGCTGTGTGAGCGTAGGGGCTGTGTGAGTGTGTGGGGGGCTGTTGGGTGTGTGGAGGGGGGAACTGTGTGAGTGTGTGCGGGGAGCTGTGTGAGTGTAGGGGAGGCGGCTGTGTGAGTGTGTGGTGGGGGCTGTGTGAGTATGCGGGGTATGGGAACTGTATGTGTGTGTGTGTAGGTGGGGGGTAGATGGGGTGGGGGGGTAGGTGTGGGGGGGTGTTGCTGGCCTGGCCACACCAGCACTTTGTAGCATGGCCACAAGAATGCACTTATCCATGGAGCATTCCAGCACAGCCAGTCGGCTGAAATAGCTAAGACAGTGCTGCTGCTGTCACTCTGAACATTTGACCCAACTAAAGTGTGAAATTAATAAGCATTGATAAAGTTAACATTTCATGCGAGTCAAGCGTTTTCTTTTTCAAACAACTGCAGGGGATAGGAGGGACTGGAGGCTTATCAGCCGACATCAGAAACTACGGGAGAATATTAAGTGTGTTTGACAGTCAAAGTCTTGTCACAATGCAATATCACTGCAGAAAATCACATTATTACAGTATTAAAACAAAATTGTACCCTAAAGGAGCATACAAGCCAGCACAAAGCACTTGCATAATTATACTGTACTCTAATAATTAAAATTAAAAAAAGATTAATAAATTATCTTTCATTAAGCAGAACAAGAGGCGGAATGTAGTAATGTAGTATGCTATGGTGTGTTTTAAGAAAAGATGAAAATAGATAGGAAATCAGATCCTAAAGATGTTATAAAGTAATGGACACACACAGAGGCTCAGAGAGATGTAAAACGGAGAAGGCATTTCAGGCCTTGTGGAATATTATAATGTTCCACTTGTTCTTTCACAATGATGAGTTGCGTTACCCATTGGATATGAGCAAAGAAAACGCCTGTAACACACTGTCAATAGTACAATGCTTTAACTGCTGTATAAGCTCTCTCTTTTTTAAGTGCGTTCTAAAACGTGTTGTATAGCAAAGCTTGTTAATGTTTCTACCTTCCCCACAGTTAATTAAGCTGAGGAATCACTCTGAACAGTCACAGAATAAATACAAGGTTGTGAATAACCTGCTACTGCATTTTGCTGCTTAAATAGCCTGATTAATGTCCTACTAATAGTCATTTGATGCATTAACTTACCTTACAACCATGTGAGGATGGTGCTCAGTGAACTATGTATGGCACAGGGAATCGAAGTACCTCCTGAGATTAATAACACATTACGAAGCTGAATATTGCTGTGCTGATACTATTATAAAATCTAATGGATAGTTAGAAAGTAGTTGCGAAACAGTGCTTTAATCTTGAGTTCACATACCATACGTAAACCATACATTATTATTATTATGAGCTTATGTAAACCTCTCTGTGAGGTTGCCACACATCCTCGCAGATGATCAGTCTTCACTATATATTTTATATTCCATAAATCA